ATCAGAACCAATATGATATGTGCAACTGGTGTGGTGTGGAAGAGTCAGACGCCCTTCACTCTGCTTTTGTTGCGTGCAATTGATTATTGCCGTTCATCTTTTGTTCACTGGCTGAGTGTCCATATGAAAATATGAAAAATTCCTACTTACCGCGGCTCTCCGGTCTTTGTCAATTCGCATTGGTTCTGCTTTGAATGGATCTGCACTATTGTAAAGCCACCATGTGGTGTGGAGTTCGTACATGCGGTGAGTAATAATCCTTTGTGATCACAGGTTCCACCAGCTGCCTGAATTTGACCAAGGAAAACGAAGCTGCCGCCGACGCCTCGCCGGTCATAACGAGCGCCGGAGGAAGCCACCGCCCGGGCCCATGTCTACACGCTATGGCCGGCTTGCCGCGTCCTTCAACGGTAAGAATGTTATCACCGAACGCGCACGCTTGCGGTTTGAACGAAACGTATTGATTCTGCTGTTGTTGTGAAATTTGGTTCAGAAGATCCAGGCAGGCTCAGAAGCTTTCTGCTGGACTTCACGTACCCGAGGGCCCCGGCCGGCGTGAGGGACCCGTGGCCGGCCGTGCAGGCCGGCGAGCACCGCATGCCTGGCACCACCCACTGGCAGGGCGGGCATCATGAGCACCACCCTCACCGCAGTGCAGTTGCGGGATACGGCGACCACCACGCGTACAACGGCCAGGGGAGCAGCTCGGGGGGAGGCGGCGCGCCGCCGCCGATGATCCCGGGCGGCTTCGAGCTCCCCTCGGACGAATGTATGGCGGGCGTCGCCGCCGACTCCAGCTGTGCTCTCTCTCTTCTGTCAACTCAGCCATGGGATAGTAGTGCCCACAGCTCCAGCCACAACCGGTCCCCGGCGATGTCGACGACCAGCGCCTTCCAGGGCAGCCCGGTGGCGCCCTCCGTCATGGCCAGCAACTACATGGCGGCAAGCAGCAGCGGCTCCTGGGGCAGCCCCCGGGGCGGCAGGAGCATGCACCACCACCAGCAGCAGCAGCAGCAGCATCACATGCAGCATGACACGGTGATGAGCGAGGTCCATCCGAGCTCGGTTCACCACGGCCAGTTCGGGGAGCTGGAGCTGGCGCTGCAGCAGGGGAGGGCGGCGCCGAACCCGCCGCACGCCGAGCACGGGTCAGGCCCCGGCGGGGCCTTCAGCCACTCCAGCAACGCGATGAACTGGTCTCTGTAGTAGGGACGGAGGTCACGCCAGGGAGACATGGAACGTTGGGCGGCCTGAGTTTTGTGCGCCTTCCACCTGCCGATCCGGATTTCAGGACGGGGAGGAAACCCGTAGCCGATAGAGCAGGGGTTTCCCGCCGTGTAGCCCGATTTTGTCCATGAACTCAAATCCCACATATGTATGTACGTGTGTGTGAGAAAACTCCATTGTTTTATTAAATTCGCTTGTCGAGGACGCTTGACCTAGTAATGCGACGGCCTCGCTAGCCGTCATCCTCTTCGTTGTTTCCGTTGATGTTTTCGCCAATATATATTGGTATGGCTACGTTCAAGTTGCCTAGTTTTTTTGTTTTTTGGTCGATCCACTGATCACAGAACTTGTTTGAGTCGATTTGCTCAAGCATTCTGGTCAATAAATCGATCAAGTGGAGCCACAACTTCCTCTCGTTTTTCTTCCCTCACCGCCTTTTTTCTCCCCTAATCCTAGGCGGTTAGGGCAAACTTTTCCCTTCAGATTTAATTGGCGAGCCCGTGGATTCGCCTTTTCTCCGCGTGCCGGTCCAGTGACGGGGAGCGGAATCCGAATTTGTTGCGGTTCGTAGTTTAGGTGTTCGAACAGATGAGGATGCTTCTTCTTTGAGTTTCTCTTTCGGGAACTTTCGGGGTACAATCCTTCTCAAGTCCGTCCATCTTAATGGTACCTCCGGCGTAGATTCATGTGGCCTCTTTAGAGCGATGAGGCTCCTTAGAGCCATGAGGTTAGGATTTGTTGTCATGAGAGGTATGATGAGATTTGGTGTCAGGTGTTTCAGATCTATGTAGGGTTCAACGGTAGCCACTGCGGCTTTAGGGCGCTGGTCCTTAAAGGCACATGCACATGCACAAAGGGCCCTTGCATCGCCTGACCCAGGCGACTCGGGGGAACCCAGCCGCCGCCGCCTCGCCACCCCTCCTCGCCCCTACCCCTGCGTCATCGTCGTCGGAGGGCTGGCTGGTGAAGCCGCGCCGGGC